AGAACCAGCTCCATCGCCCCCCTCAGGAGCGGTCCCACGGTGGGCACGCTGGTGGGCTTCGGCTGGCACAGCTGGCAAGGGGGACACTGCAGCAGGTGCAGCCAGAAGCTGTGGGGAGCAGGCAAAGGGGAAAGAAGGGAGGAACAGTCCCCCCCACCCCCCCCTACCCACTGCTGGGGGCTGCAAACCTGTTTTCCAGCCCTCTTCACTGAGGACCCCTGAGCTCTTCCACCTCTCTGCCCCCTTCCAGCCCTTCCACGGCAGACAAGATGAAGCATTTCTTCCTCCTCTTCCTCCTCGGGCTCATCACCAGCTCCTTGCAGATCGAAGACAACAAGATCCCCGGGCTGTGCTCGGGGCAGCCAGGCATCCCGGGGACCCCAGGCCTGCACGGGGGGCAGGGTCTGCCAGGGAGAGATGGACGAGATGGCCGGGATGGGGCCATGGGGATGCCAGGGGAGAAGGGCGAGATGGGCCCTCCCGGTAAGAAAGGAGACATCCTGGTTTGGGGAAAGGGGGACCTGCTCTGCTCTGCCCTCATGCCAGGGGGTGAGCCGTGGATGCTGGCACAGCAAAAATGCCTCTTTCATGCCACCACCACCTTTCCTGCCCTGCCCGTGGTGGACCCTGTGCTCCCTGGCACTGGCAAAGCTGCCCTCCTCCCCATCCCCACTGCCATCCCTCTCTTCCCCACTTTAGGAGGACTCACCAGCTTTTCCCCTGAATGTGGCTTCATCCTCCCCACCCTGGGGTTTCTCCCAGTCTTTGGGGGTTTCTGGGGGTTGATGCTGTGCCCAGTTAGCACCTTCCTCTGCTTCCTTCCAGTATCTGAAAGGGGCCTGTAACAAGGCTGGGGAAGAGCTGTTCACTAGGGCATGTAACAACAGGACAAGGGGCAATGGTTTTAAGCTAGAAAAGGGTGGATTTAGGTTGGGCATTAGGAAGAAGTTCTGCAATGGGAGGGTGGTGGATCAGTGGAACAGGTTGCCTGGAGAGGTGGTGGAGACATTCAAGCTGAGGCTTGATGGAGCAATCTGGTTGGAGATGCCCCTGGATGGAGGTCTGGTTGGAGATGCCCCTGCTTATTGTAGGGGGGTTGGACTGGATGACCTTTAGAGGTCCCTTCCAACCCAAGCCATTCTGTGCTTGTGCTGCTTCCCCAGGCAGAGCACTGGCCACGCTGGGCATTGGAAGTCCCACCACCCCGCTGGGCAGGGAGAGGGTGGGTTTGGACGGGTGGCGGTGGCTCAGGCCTCACCCTACCCCTCTCCTCCTCACCCCAGGACCCCCCGGCCCCCGCGGGGAGGTGGGCAGCCCTGGCCTGGACGGTGCCCACGGCGAGAAGGGCGCTCAGGGGGAATGTGCCGTCCCCCCCCGCTCCGCCTTCAGCGCCAAGCGCCCCGAGTCCCGCA